AATGCCACATCGATAACATTGTGTCTCAAGTGAAGAGTGCATAATGCGACAAGAGTCAAGAGGAAGTGTGTATATATAAGGATTAAGGACTCATAAAGATATCAAAGGAGTGCTTGCAGTTGCGTCTGATGCTCTTGCATCCCAGAGATCCTTTTCTGTCTACTGCAAACCCCAGTAAGTCAATTACATTTGCAGTGTGATTTCTTCACTTGAGGAATTGGAGCAGCATTTAAGAAAATATAGTTAGTAGGCTCAGGAAACGTCCGCATAGATGACAAACACACCATATTTGAACAAATCAGTCCTTGGTTTTAACGAGTCTTAGAATCATCTGCTATGTTTTATGGTGGTTCATATTCAGAGTAGTCTGCTCATTTTCTAACTACTAAAAAGAAGATAAAATTTGATTTGATCAGCTAAAAGCCACTCCAAACACCCTCTAAATCAATAGATACATGCCTACGATACTCTCCCCATGAGATACAGTTAAAGGTGCAGATGGCCATATTGTAGGCAGTGAACAGTAACTCTTTTTTTTTTACCTTAACATCTATTTTTAAAGTGAATCCTACTTCTCATGTAATATGTTACACTAAAAGGACAAAATCATTCTCTTCCAAGGTAATGCACAACCGTGAGATGAAGGAAATAGTTGCTCTAAGCTAGCAAACTGCAAATTTTTGTAAAATTCAAAACCCAGTACATTTAAAATGTAAAAATGACCAACTTATTGATGGAACAGAGCAGCAAAATACATAAGAGAGCTCAAAAGAGCCCCCATTTATTAATCTTCACACAATATATGACTAGCATACCTAGAAAACTGATGTTTAATGAGGAATTGACCACTTGAAACATGGGATTTCTGCATTATATATATGAGACTTGGTAAAAAGAGCAGTGAAATTGAAGGTGAGGTGGTTCTTGCTGAACAAGTGAATGGAGGCAGTACAGATGTGCCTGAGACAGTTGTGAAGGATGAAATCACACAGAGAGAAGGTGAGAAATTCTTTAATATGAATGAATCAGGCAACTCAGGCGCTCTTGTGTAGGATGAATGTCTTCCTTGACACTTATCTAAGAAAAAGTAAAAATGAATGTCTCCTTGATCTAATTGTACTTCTTTTCTTTCATGTATTTTTTACTACCTTGTCAGTTTAAGTAGAACACTATGTTTGCTCTTCTTAATTCACATTAGGGGAACTGGTGAGGAACTTTCTAAAGAACAGTGCAAGCCAGTTAACAATCTTTGGGCATGCTTCCTTCCCTGTTATAAGTTCATTCTCCTGTTCATAACTGTATTACTCTGTTTTGCTAGTAGTAACAGAATACTCTTTGTTCCTCTTTTGCACAGATTATTTTCCTTGCAAGAGGGTTTGAAGGAGCGGGAACTTTGTGTTTTCTTCAGGAATAATCATTTCAATACCATGTTTAAGGTCTGATGGGCTTGCTTTGTTATTATTATAATTTTTTATATGATTTGTACTGGGGTAAAATAATTTCCTATGTGGATACAACCATATCTCCACTTCTCAAGTTTCTGGGCATAGAAAACTGATGTCAGCTTATGTGCAGTTTGAAGGCGAATTATATATTTTGGCCACTGACCAAGGATATATAAATCAATCTGATTTGGTATGGGAGAAACTCAATGAGGTAAGAAGTGTGTCTTTTCATATATTTACCTTATATTTGACGAATGGGTAAAACTGAGTTTAAGTTTTCAACCTGGGAATTTCATGCTAGAAAGGTAAGTTGAATCTCTGTTTCGCTTACATTTGCAACAGGTAGTTTCCACCCCATTCTGTTTGTGGTTAACTAATTTTTAGAGTAGAAAGTATTGTGTTTCATATGCTTAAACCAACCACCTGTTTCAAAAGAGTGTAGTCCTTATTGGTTTCTGATTATCTTACGCTATATCCAAAATCCAAGATTCAAGGTTGTAAAGACATAAAAGAGGAAAGAAGATATATTGGAGGCTTGGTTTGTTCTGACTGTCATTAGAATTTATTATGTTACAATTTAATTATAGCTGTACCTAGCCTATTTAATTCCTATATACCAAATCATACAAAGTCATAGACAAATCTTAACATTAATTTCTATTTACCAACAAAATCATACAAAGTCATAACAAGGTTAGTCTCTATCTTCAGGGGTCAGAGAAACATGCTTAGG